CAGCCTGAACTGCATAGCAAGACCCTGTCTCAAAAAGACCAAAAAAAAAATTTTTTTTAATAAAATAAAAAATAAAAGTGAAGGCTAAGGCAAGGCAGGACAGGAAAAGTTACAAAATACTTTGGAATTCAAAGCAGAAACCGAACATCATGGATTGGGGGGTCAGAAAATGCTTCGTGGTGCTTGAGACAATCCTTAAAGGAGGTTGTTGTGAGGGGGACACACAGTGAACAAAGGGACTGAGGTGGGAAGAGGAAGACTTCAGGGGACAACATTCATTCTCAGTGGAGGCTGATTGAGTTAAGCAGGAGAGGAGTAATAAAGAGGAGCAAGGAAGGCTGGACTAGTACAGCATAGAGAGAACTGGAAGATGTTTAGGAGGGCAACATTTAACAAGCCAGTGTTGGTCCTGTGTGTCAAACACATTACAGGGAGGTTCAATCATAAGCAAGACAAAGTATGGTGGCACACACCTGTAATCCCATCAGTTGGGAGGCTGAGGCAGGAGGATCACAAATTCATGGGCTACATAATGAATTCAAAGCCAACCTGAACTATACAAGGAGACCCTTGTCAGTACCGCCCCTGCCCCAAATACCAGCGAGACAGACACTGTTGTTGCCCTGATGGAGTTTACGATCTAGCAGTAGAAACATCTTAAGCAACTAAACACACAAATGTGTCATTGCAAGTTGTGCTACCTGTTTCTAGGAAAAAGAATAGTGAAACAGCTAGGCAGTGAAGGATGTCCCCACCACTTTAGATGGGAACGCCTCCTCAAGGAGGTCCTACTGAAGCTGAAATAACCATGATAAGAATAGAAAAAATGTATTCTAATAGTGAGCAAGATGGACAAAGGAACAGTTCAGAATCCTTGAAGTGAGACAAAATTTGGTGAGTTGGAGGAAGGACAGATCCAGTATAGCTGCCATGTAGTGACGAAGGAGTCCTGAACAGCTGGTGCCAGCTTCGCAGAAGGTGGTAAGTTGCTTGGACTCTATTTGTAGTGCAACAGGAAGAGACTGAAGGGTTTAAGTCCTCCTTTCAACTTTCCATTTTGGTGTATGTTTTTCAAAGTATAATTTAGACACAATTTTCATGAATGTATGCATTCAGAAAGTATGGGAGTCTCAATAGGTGAATGAATAAAGAAAACGTGGCACATGCATAATGGAGTACTCAGCCACAAAGAAGGATAAATTTGAGTCATTTGTAGGAAAATAGATGTACCTTGAAACCGTAATGCTGAGCAAAATAAATCAGACACAGAACTTAAGTATTGCATGGTTTTTCCTATAGAGAAACCCAAAGTATAAATAACTGAAAGCAAAATAATAAAAGATAGATGATAGGAAACAAGGAGGGAGATATTTTGCAAATGGGAAGAAGATCTAGAGATGGAGGGAGAGGAGAGAATGGGAAGGGGAAGTAAAAAGGATGCATTCAATATATCTATGTACCAACTCCCATGAGGAATATATTAATTATGTAGCAAACCTTTTAATTAAAAAGTATGTAGACCCTTTCTCAAAATGACAAACTGGGTAATCTCATCCAGTTCCATATCTTTATGATCTGCTTTTTTTTTCTTTTGTCTTTTTGAGACAGTCTTGGTATTTAGTGCAGGTTGGCCTTGAACTCAAAGCAGTCTTTCTACCTCATTTCTTGAGTGCTGAAATAATCCATGTGCACCACCATGCCCAGCCCAGTAAATTATTTTTTAGGGTTTTTTTGGTTGGTGTTTTTTGTTTGTTTGTTTGTTTTTGCGATAGGGTTTCACTATGTAGTTCAGGCCGGACTTGAACTCACTGTGTAGCCCAGGCTAGCCTTAAACTCCTGGTGATCCTCCTGTCTCAGCTTCCTGAGTGCTGGGATAAAACATGTACCACCACAACCAGCTTAGCATTTCTATCCATTTTAGATGGCATCTAGGTCACAAGGTGGACATCCTGGAGGGGACCCAAGCATTGGAATGACCACCCTCCATGTATTGAGAGAACATTCTGGGAGAATGCTTATTAATTCAGATTCATTCATAAGTCCAACAAAGTGAGTCTTATACACATTTGTCACAAATATACAAGGTAAAGCATAAAAAAAAACAAAAATACAGTTAAGTCCCCGACTGTACTATACTACAGTATACTGTTGCACCGTACAGTAAACACAGATGGTCCAGCAGACATGTGAGCTACTTCTGTGATGTTTGCATCTACGCATGTTTGTAATGTCAGGTCCTTTCGTATCTGAAAGTTCACAACTCAGATGTTTGTAAGTCAGGGACTTACTGTAGCGAGCTGTGGCACAGCAAGGCAAAAGATTGCAGATCCCAGAGAGAAGAGGTCAGCATACTTTTGGAGGCCAAGGGGAGGGGAAGCCATCTCAGACACATGCTCAGCCCATGGGTGGGAACAAAAGAGGTAGGAAACTAGTGGGCTGAAGCGTTTATTGGGGTCCAGAGTATTAGCTGTTCACGTGGGTTTCCCATGACAGGATGGAATTGGTTAATTTGAAGAAAGCACAAGTTCCAAGGTAAGGGTTACATTTTGGGTTCAAATTTGGGTTTAAATTTGGGTTCACCAAGTTTAAAGCGAAAGTGAAAGCCCAGCATGGCGGTGCACACCTGTAACCCCAGCATTCAGTGAGCCTGGATTATATAGTGAGTTCCAGCTCAGCATGGGATACATAGTGAGACTGTCTCAAACAACAACAAAAAAACCAAAAATGAGAGAGTCAAGTGTTTCAGGATATGGGCTTTATCTATCTAGAACATGTAACTGGGTGGAGAGCTCAAAATGCACAGGTCAAGGGTGACAAGCCAAGGTCAGAACAATACGATGGATATCAAGGGCTGGGGATGTAGCTCAGTGATGGAATGATTGCCTAGTATGTGCAAGACCCTGACTTTGATCCCTAGCACTACAAGAAGAAAAACAAAGCAGCCGCCAAACTGCATTAATATGAATGATTTATGATAATTCTTGAACATTGTGTCAGGTTTTCTGAACATCCCTGCAAGTTCGTGAAAAGGAAAGCTAAGAGAGATTCTATATTATGCAGCTAGGGCCTGGGTAAGCTGTGAATAAAATTCTCTAACTCACAGAGCTAAATTCTTTTCTGTAAACCAAGAAATTCAAATTTCAGCAGTGAAAATAGACACTTTGAAAAGATCATTTGGAGCCAGGTGTGATGGTGCATGCCTGTAATCCCAGCACTCAGGAGGCTGAGCCAGGAAGATCTTTGCAAGTTCAAGACCAGCCTGGGCTACAAAGTGAGCTCAAGACCAGCCTGAACTGCATAGCAAGACCCTGTCTCAAAAAAAAAAAAAAAAAAAAAATCATTGAAGCAGGGTGTGGTGGGGCACACTTGGGAGGCTGAGCCAAGAGGATCGCCACAAGTTCGAGGCCAGCCTTGGCTACATAGTGAGTTCAAAACCAGCCTGGACTATATATCAAGACCCTTTCTCAAAAAATAATAATAATAATAATTTGAAGCTGGGCATGACTGTACATACCTGTGATCTTAGTCTGGGAGACTGAGGTATAAAGACCACAAATTCAAGCCCAGCCCCAGAAAATTAGCTGTTTATTGAGACCATGTCTCAAATCATTTGATAGCTAGGCATGGTAGTGCACACCTGTAATCCCAGTATTTGTGAGGCTGAGACAGGAGGACTGAGAGTATGAAGCCAGCCTGGACTACATGCAGAGACCTTGTCTCCACCCCCACTCCCAAGAAAAAGGGAGTTAAAAAAACCTCATTTGATGCCAGGCATGGTGGTACATGCCTGTAATCCCAGCACTCAAAAAAAAAATTATTTGATGCCAGAAATGGTGGTATGTGCCTGTAATCCCAGCACTCCAGAAGCTGAGGCAGGAGGATTGCCACAAGTTCAAGGCCATCCTGGACTACATAGTGAGTTCAAGGTCAGCCTGAATTACATAGCAAGACCCTGTCTTAACAAAACAAAAAGGT